CCCCGCTGCTACGTAACCCCTTAAAACCACGGCGCACCCACAAACTTATTATAACCTTAAGAATTTGCGCAGAGCAGAGCAGAGCAGAGCAGAGACGAGGAGGAGGAGGAGTCGTCTGGACTCACGACTGTACATAGATATGTATACCATCAATCAGTACCACGGAAAGGGGAGCTGCATAAGATTACATTCATAAATCTGAAGCCAATAAAGGCTGCAGCAAGTGAAGCATCGCCATCAACCCCCCTCCCCCTCCTCTATATATATTCTGTAGCCGTTAAAAAGCTGAGCGATCTAGCTATTCGTCTTCCCATTTCCATTCTACGCTTGGTGGGCACGCCCAGATTTATTACGAGTATCCCGGCGATCAACATACGGTAGTGAGCAGGATAGATAGATGGAAGGTGGGAATAATGGAAGAGGAACGCTGCCTTTGGGAATGCGAGGCCTTCAGGAGACGTCACTCCAGCAGCAGCAACACCATCATCTCTCGTCCACCTTTCCATCCCAACACCACGTCGACGGAGCAAAATCCCCTCGGCAGCGCTGACAGCAGGCAGCCTCAGACAAGTGTCTATTCGGGGGCGACGGATGGGAGCTTCCACCCGCTGCGCACCGCCTTATCCCCAGTCGACACACTATCCATGCCCGCAGCAGGATGAAATGGCACGGACAGCATTGGCTTCGACTTCCTCAGTTCATGGCATTGCTGTACTGCGTGCGGCAGTGATGCCACTCCCCGCCTCCCGCCGCCGCCGCTCAGATATACCTCCAACGCAACAGACAATCCATCAAGGCGGACCAACCAGCCTGCCCTGCTCCCCTTGCTCTGGAAAACAACAAGGCCTAAATAAAGCCCACAGGCGGTCGACCATCCAACATCGGCAGGGCTGCTGCTGCCCCAGAAAGAAGCCGGCACATGTGGAGGAAGTCAGTGTCGAGAGCCATGATGGAGAAGGGGTTCTCCGTATCCCCCCAGCAGTGCGAAGACAAGTTCAATGATCTCAATAAGCGCTACAAGAGGGTCAACGAGCTTCTAGGGAAGGGGACAGCATGCAGGGTGGTGGAGAACCAAGGCCTGCTCGATTCCCTGGACCACCTCTCCCCAAAGGCCAGGGAGGAAGCGCGCAAATTACTCAACTCCAAACACCTGTTTTTCCGCGAGATGTGCGCTTACCACAATAGTGGGGCTGCTGCCCATGCGCCTGCAGCCTCTTCAGCCTCAGCCTCAGCCTCAGCCTCATCATCAGCAGCAGGGACAGCATTGTTTCCACCACCCTTCACACCCGCCCCTCAGTTTTCCTGGAGAAGCATTCTTTGTTAGAAAGGAGGGCCGTAGCAGCGGTGGCACGTTAGGCGGGATGGATGAGGAGGAAGATCACGATAACAGTAATAATGGTAACGAGACTGGAGATGACGATAACGAGGAAGTAGAAGATGATGAAGACGATGATGATAATGATTATGATTATGACGACGATGAGGATGATGGTGTCCAGAATCAAAGAACCAAACACCACCACCACCACCAGCAGCAGCAGAACCAAGGAGGCATCGATAACAAGAGTGAATCAAAAATGGCGAGTGCGACTTGTATGTCATTGCGGATGAGATCCCTCTCAACATCCCCCCCTCTCTCACTGTCCCTGACATCATCATCACCTCCGGTGGCAATGGAACAGCTGAGATCGGATCTGATGGGATCCTTGGCCAGCTTGGGTGGGGAGCAAGAGCAGAGGCAATGGCTAAAGAGGAAGGCTGCAGAGCTGGAAGAGCAGCGTATGGGATATCAAAGCCGAGCCTTGGAACTTGAGCGACAGCGATTCAAATGGCTTCGCTTTAGCAGCAACAAGGAAAGGGAGATGGAACGGATGAAACTCAGCAATGAACGCCGCTGCCTGGAAAACGACCGCATGCTGCTGCTGCTCCGCCAGAAGGAAAAAGAAGTCATCCTCAATACAAATGCTACTGTCACTGCTAATGCCAACAACCCTTCCAACCCCAACCCCCTACAATTTGCTGCTGACCACCTATGTCATCAGAATCTGCTCCTTTAGATTCAGCACTTGTTCATCTCAGATTCCATCACCCAAATGCCAATGGCGCCTTTCAGCACTTTGATCTGTAGTTTAACACAACTTTCTTTTCCTTGCTCTATAATTAACTTGTGTCTTTGCCACCTGAAGTCATGCTGTCCTTGAGAAAGTATGCCTTTCAGCAGTTTGACTTGTAATTTAACATAACGTTCTTTTTCTTTGCTTTATAATTAACTTGTGTTTTGGCCACCTGAAGTTATGCTCTCCTTGAGGAAGTATGCAGACGAAATGATTGTTTTCGGCTCCAATTAAGCAATAGAGATAACTGGTGAAATCAATGAATCAAGGAAAGTGAATGAATGTAATATATAGTAAGTCATTACAGAATTGCTAGAGGCATCTGATGCCGACGTATTCGCCTGTGTTCCACAGCGCCAGGGACACCATAGATTATCTTGGATAGATTTTGCCTATAAGCAATAACCAATTCCGTGAAGTGATGACTATACACACCTTTTACCATTCTTCTCGTCAATTCCCCTTCTCAGAATACACATTACACCAGACAGAAACAAGGAAGGGGGGAAAAATTTGTTTACACAAAATGAACTTTTAAGTACGAATTTGGATCTTCTCCACTAAAAAAAATAATAGTAAAGAAACCACTATTTTTATACTAAAAAATTTGTGATACATTCTAAATCTAACCCTCATTCTACCCCTTACCCCGTGTATTGCACTCATTTCTAATTTGTACTTGAAGAAAAAAATCATAACCGCCTATTAGATAAATGATGGCTGTTTAATAACAGTGACATCTCCACTACTTTTTTTAGTGATGGATAAGATCCGAATCCTTTTAACTATTTCCAGGTAACATTACGGTCAAAGAAGAGAAAACTTTCCAACCAGGCTACCTATCTAACAAAAATATATAAAAAAACTATGATAGTATTGCTAATACCCTACAGAAACCTATTAAACCTGAAAACGATAAGGGAACAGGAAAAATGTAATTGTATATCTTTTGTTACTGTTAGAGAACAAAAGAACAGTAATGTTGGAGATTTCAGTCTCCCTGCCTACTACAATATGCGCAACTCGGAAACCGACCACAATTAACAAGATAGAAAATAACTACAATCAAGAAGAAAAGAACACGAGATTTACGTGGTTTGGTCAACCAACTTCTACCTACGTTCACGGGCAACAATACGAGTAATCCACTATGTATCAGGGAAAACTACAAGAGGAACCACTCAACTCTCGTCTCTCAATCTCTCAACCTCACATACATAATCAACTAACCACTCAACTCTCGTCTCTCAATCTCTCAACCTCACATACATAATCAACTTTCATATTCTCTCCAAAGTCCACTCCTTGTAATCTTTTGCAATCTCTCAACCTCACATACATAATCAACTTTCATATTCTCTCCAAAGTCCACTCCTTGTAATCTTTTGAACGGATAAAAGATCACGAAAGACTCGCCTCTCGCACAATATTCTTGAATCAGGCTACGCCCTCTGCTAACCTAGATTACAAGAATATTGGCTCTCTCTCTACTACATCTTCTATCTACTCTCTTCTTCTTTTTTCCCTCAACCAATACAAGAATATATATAGGGAAACCAAACCTTATCTCTAGCCTAACTTCCTAATTAGAATAGAATTAAAACTCCTAATCATGATAAAACTCAAACTCCTAATCATGATATAACCCAAACTCCTAATCATGATAGATCTCTAATCCTATCTAATTCTCGTGAAGTTATACAAATAATCTAAGAAAAAATCCCAACAATTTCCACCTTGGATTTGATTTCCAAACTCCTTTGAAGATATATCATCATCGTCTTGAAACTTTGCCTCTCCCGTTAGAGCCTTCTATTTCTTTCGCATTCCAAATTGTAGCACCTGCACTCCAACTGGGACGTCCCAGAGCCTCGCTATCATCTGCTTCGTCGTGGCGCCTTCACCTCTCTTATGTACACCAAAAGATCTTCGCCACCTCTAACATTAGAAGTAAATCAACCATGCTTCTCCTCCCAAACCGAGCTTCACAATAGCCTTCACCCACTTGCTGTCCTCGTGCTCCACCTGCATCGCTCGTCTCGAATCATATCGGTGCACCTCTCCTACTCCACACTACGAGCCAGATGCCTCTATCTCCTCCATCACTTACATTGGACTGATTATGAACGCTCATCATCTTCAAGTCCAATGCCACCATCTCCATTATCCTATGTGTCACTCGGTCGTGCCCACTTACAAGCTCCACCTAATCTGACACTATTCTCCTCCAGTCTGCACACCAACCAACTCATGCTCATTATCTGCCATCAGATTTGTCTTTGCCATTAAATAGCACAATATCAAACTTCGGACCCGAAGAAGTCATCATTCCCTAATCAAAATTCAAATCAGCCACTGTAGATTTTGAATTTGATGAAACTGATGCCAAAAACGAATTCAGCACGTCAAAAAACCTAGGAACGACTCCTGGATCACTAAAATCCGCCTCCAAATCATCGATAAAAAGACAAGTCAATCTCAACCGTCGGATCTGCATGAACAGTGACCGCCGCGTCTCTGATACGTCTTTGATACAGTATCGCCGCTACAGTAATATTTTTTTTCTTAATTCTTGAAACACCGATCTTTAATCTTGCACGACGTCGTCTTCTCTCTTGTGAACTCGCTCCCGGATCCATCAACTGTTGCGCCTCGAGAAACCAAAACAATCGCCGGGAAAGATAAAGAACCAACCAAAATCAATAGCACAAACAATCAAACACCAGATTTTACGTGGTTCGGCAAGATGTCTACGTCCACGGGGTAAGGAGGGGGGAGTTTTCACTATTAGAAATCAAGAGGAACAAACTAGGGTTACAAATCTCTCATAAACCCTCAACAATCAACTCTCAAACTCTCCAATTGCTCCTAGAATAGAAGCCCAAAGAAAACTCTCTCAATCTGCTCAAATTCGTCCTTGCTCTTTACCCTAAAAAACACCCAATGGGTATTTATACAAATCCAAAACAAAACGGGTCTGAAAATAGACCCAACCCATAACCGCAGCGGCGATCGACCGGTGCGGTCGACCGCCCTCCATCCAGCAGCGAGCCCAAAGATCCAGAGAGTTCGGCGGTCGCCCGACCCGGTCGACCGACCCGGTCGACCGACCCGGTCGACCGACCCGGTCGACCGCTTTCTGATATATCGCAGAAACCTGATTTTTTTGACTCTACACCAAATGCCTCACTTGATGAGACCCAAATGGGAGTGCGAACACTCACCCCAAATGTCGATGTCGCTCACCAAATCGGCTGTATCATAAAGACTGCCTACGTATCCTCTTCCCAAGGAATCAAGCCTTCACGTAGTTCACCTAATGGCCTCCAAAGGCCCTCAATCCAATCTGCGGCTGATAGCATCATAAACGACCCCAATCTGAAAAACAGTCCAACACCTCCACCTGAGATGAAACAATGGTCGTATCCAAAACATATCCATCAGCTGCATCCAAATCAACTACCTCATCATCTGCACTCATAAATAAATGACTCCCACGCTGTGCCACCTCAGCTGGAATCCCAACCAATGCAGAATAACCTGGAGTATGTGGGAAAATCCCCACCCAATGTGGAGTAACATCAACCTCCACCCGCTGCGATATCCCTCTGACCTGATCAATACTCTCCACCTGCCGAGAGTCCAAAGTGACAAACCTGCTCAGACCAAACTCAGAAGCTCCCAACTGATAGCCGAATGAACTCCTGAATCCCAACTGCGCAATCGGATCCAACCTCACATTAACGATGTGACCAAGTGCTGGGTAGCCAAATATCTGACGCCGACCAAAATCTGAAACAGCTCCACCTGATCTAACAACTCTATACGCAGCAGTCGGCAACCTCATAAAGATAGCCCAATCGTGTCGAAGCCCGAATATCAGATCCACTGCTCGACAACCAATACCGATCCTCCTCCAGAAAAGAACGGCTCACTAAATCTGCCATCTCATCACGTCGCCCCACTGTCTCCTCTACTCTCACCAATGCAAGAAAGGACCCCTACTAGAACAAGTACGACTGGTAACCTTTCTGCCCATACACCTCCTCCAACTGTTGCGGACTACTAGGGCTTTATACCAACGAGACTTGGTTGCAACCCAAATATGCCTAGTACAATCCCCAACATAGGAAACAAAATAACGGTTACCTCCCGATGATGCCTCCTTGGAAAGCCCCCCAATGCCTGACTGAACACCTCCAATAAGACCTCTCGATCGATGGATAGAAGTGCTGAACTCCACCTCGGTCTTCTCGCTCATACCAATGTGCTCACAGGACTTCAATCTGCAGGTCATAGCACTCCTCAACAATCTGTGCACAGTATAACCAATAATATATCCCAGCACCAAATAATGCCACAGTCTAGCCATAGACACAATTATGGACCCCGATGTGACCTTCAAGCGAGAATCCGCCAAGATCACCCTATAGCCTGATGCCTCCAATACCCCAAGTGAAATGATGTTCTTCCTCAGTTGAGGAACGAACCTCACATCAGCCAACTCCCGGATCATCCCGTCACTCATCCGAATCCGAACGGTACCAATACCACCAATAGGGCATCTGTGATCATTACCCATGAGAACAGCATCCCCTCTTTCCAACTCCTGAAAGCTGGAGAACCAATCCCTTCTAGGGCATATGTGGTAAGTAGCACCAGAATCCAACATCCACTCGGTGGAGTCGGCAACATCAACTGACGGAAGAGCTGGGCACGAATAGCCCGAAGAATCTGAATCTGAAACATCGCCACTAGCCTTGGCAATATTCACCTCTGAAGCTTGAATAACTTTCCCTTTATTCTTCACAGCTTGCAATTTTGGGCATTCAGCTTTCCAATGTCCATCCTCTCTACAAAAGGCACACTGATTCCTACCAACTGCAGGATGCCCCCTCTAGACTGCGACCTTCTTCCACGGTTTGGACTTCTAGCTCTTGCAACCAATGCACCAGCAACCGGCTCGATAGAAATCTCCTTGTCCTTCTTTCGAAGTTGATAGTTCACAAGGGCTGCGGTGACCTCACTATACGAAAGTGATGCCTTTCCATTAATAAGAGTGAGGACGAAGGTCTCATATTCCTCGTCGGGCAATGAACTCAATAACAACAATGCCTTGTCCTCGTCTTCAACAATGACATCTACATTCGCCAAATCTGCAAGTAGCTTCGTGTAGTGGTTCATGTGATCACTAATGGATGTCCCTTTTTTCAATTGGAAGCGATAAAGCCTCCTCTTCAAATGCAAACGATTTTCAACGCTCTTCGTCAAATATTTACCCTCTAGGACCTCCCAAATCTTCTTTGCCGAAGTTTCATTCATCACATCATATTTAAGGTCTTGGGTAAGGCAGGACCTAATCACACCACACGCCGTTCTATTCATTTTATTCCAAACCTTTTCATCAACGTCGGCCGGTTTCCCGTCCAACTCCAATGTATCTTCCAAATTTTGCGCATTTAGCGCATCCGTGACTTCACATCGCCAAAATCCAAAATTATTTGTGCCGTTGAACTTTTCCACATCTATTTTCATAGAATGTATATTCAAACTTTGGACGACCTTCACACCAGAAGAACCCTCCCCACTTTTATCTTTTTCAGCCATATATCTCAAAGCACCACCAAACCAATGCGGAAACAAACGAGAAATAGATCCAAATTGAAAAAAGACGAGATTTTTACTGAAAAGATCTCACCTTTATCACCAAACGAAGCCCTAGATGAACTTCCAAAGCGATCTACTCTTCCAAAATAGCCCAAGCGTAGCCCGAAGCTCTGATACCAATTGTTGCGCCTCGAGAAACCAAAACAATCGCCGAGAAAGATAAAGAACCAACCAAAATCAATAACACAAACAATCAAACACCAGATTTTACGTGGTTCGGCAAGATGCCTACGTCCACGGGGCAAGGAGGGGGGAGTTTTCACTATTAGAAACAAGAGGATACAACTAGGGTTACAAATCATCTCATAAAACCCGCCAACAATCAACTCTCAATCTCTCCAATTGCTCCTAGAATAGAAGCCAAAGAAAACTCTCTCAATCTGCTCAAATATCGTCCTTGCTCTTTACCCTAAAAAACACCCAATGAGTATTTATACAAATCCAAAACGAAACGGGTCTGAAAACAGACCCACCCATAAACCGCAGCGGCGTCGACCGTGCGGTCGACCGCAGATCCATCGCGGTCGCCGGCGGTCGACCGCGCCTCCATCCAGCAGCGAGCCAAAGATCCAGAGAGTTCAGGCGTCGACCGACCCGGTCGACCGACCACCGAGCAGAAACTTCTGCGGTCGACCGGACCGGTCGACCGCCACCAATGCTGAAGCCCAGTGAACAATGTGCACGAATGCGGTCGACCGGACCGGTCGACCGCCACCCAGTTTGCCTAAATCTTAACCTGTCAACCTCTACTGCTAGTTCCACATCAACATAGCTCTGATACTACTTGTTAGAGATTTCAATCTCCCCACCTACTACAATATGCGTAACTCGGAAGCCGACCACAATCAACAATATAGAAAATAACTACAATCAAGAAGAAAAGAACACCGAGATTTACGTGGTTCGGTCGACCAACTTCGATCTACGTCCACGGGCAACAATACGAGTAATCCACTATGTACCAGGGAGAACTACAAGAGGAACCACTCAACTATCGTTTCTCAATCTCTAAACCTCACATACATAATCAACTTTCATATTCTCTCCAAAGCCCACTCATTGTAATCTTTTGAACGGATAAAGATCACGAAACCCTCGCCTCTCGCACAATATTCTTGAATCAGGCTACACCCTCTGCTAACCTAGATTACAAGAATATTGGCTCTCTCTCTCTACTACATCTTCTATTTACTCTCTTCTTCTTCTTTTTTTCCTCAACCAATACAAGAATATATATAGGGAAACTAAGCCCTATCTCTAGCCTAACTTCCTAATTAGAATAGAATTAAAACTCCTAATCATGATGAAACCCAAACTCCTAATCATGATAGAACACAAACTCCTAATCATGATAGATCTCTAATCCTATCTAATTCTCATGAAGTTATACAAAGAATCAAAGATAATTTACTTGTGGAGAGGCACTTTTCATAAAAGGAGCCTGCATAGTAGGATACATATATGAGAATTCGCAGATTTTAGATCTCGCATGATTATGCTCACGTATTGGCCTTGACAGAAGTCCTTTTGATTATGTTGTGAGTAACATCGAAGCAAATTTCTGTTGCGGTAAATATATTCATGGATGTCGGAATAACATACATAAATAAATTATACAGGTGGTGGGGGCAAGTCCAATAAAATCCAAAACCCAACACAATCATCCGACTCTAAACTTTCTTGGATAGCAAGAAAATGCAAACCTCCACACGTCTTCTTTGCAGCTTCCCAGGCTTCAGCCTCCAGTGTTGTTGCTGCATTTTTCTTGTAGGTAGCATAGATATACCTGGTAGACACTCCAACCGATAGAATCAAGGAAGCCCGGTTCACATCTACTTCAACAGAACAGACCTCCAAACCGTTCATCCAAGCTAAAACGACAGCAATTTTTAAAAAAAGTGAACAACTCATCTGAAGGTGGGTTTTAACCGAAGCAGCTAAAACAGCATGACAGGGAAAAAAAACATGCATCTAATTACCTAACAAAGATGCCTATGAGGTATTTACCCACAGCTATAATATGTTCATGTCATTTTGCTATCCGACTGCAAAAATATGCGTCGTAGATTTTCTGTACGTCTCGTTCAAGTTTGGAACAATTCAAACATGTAACTAGCAGAAGAAAAACAAAAGTACCTGCCAATGGTTTAGCACGTGATGATGCAACCGCAAGGCCAGGGATTAAAGTGTTATCTTCAATTTCAATGCCAAGAAGATCTAAATCGAGGCTCCCACCAAAGGCATATCTTGTTTTAAATGATGAGGCTTCCTCCTGCACAACTGAAAATTGGAAAGTATGGTTACTTTGGTTTGAAACACCAATAAAAGGGAGTATTAGAAAATTGGAATGTATAACTCAATGACCAGAAATTGCAACTTATTTCGTCTTGCTCATATTGAATGTTCTCCAAATGGATCTTTAGCAGCAAGTATTTGTAGTTCCTATTTCGGGTATACATGCACTTTTGGTGCCCCGCAAGGTGCCTCCAGTTTTTGCTGAAGCACACTTGTCGCTCTAGGTCCTTATTATGGCAGGCATGTGATGATAGGTCATTTTATCTATTCTTCTTTCCTCTATCTGAAGGTAGAAGAATATTTGATGATTGTTCTTTTTTTTGTTTATTAGGGCCAACTCATTAATCCTTTGTTGCATTGGATTATAACCACATAATATTAATAGCTAAGTTAGGTGTCCAAAACTGCAGCATATCAACTACTAACCCTACCGGATCAATGCCAAGCTCCATTTTTCTATGGTTCCTTGCTCAGCAATTTGGGGGTTGACATGCAGGAATATGAAGCAAGTCTTTTCATGGAGCCTCGTGCTCCATGATTGAGCCCCCCATTCTAGCGTCTAAAATACTAGCTTGTGAAAAAATATGGTGGACGTGAAATCGTTTTTTTTTTAAGGCATGACAGAGACGTGAGGCCAAACTACAATTGACGGTGGGTGCATTGTTGTGCCTCGAGAATCCAAACCAATCGCCGAGAAAAGATAAACCAACACACCAAATCAATAGCACAAACAATCAAACACCAGTTTTACGTGGTTCGGCAAGATGCCTACGTCCACGGGGCAAGGAGTGGGGAGTTTTCACTATTAGAAATCAAGAGGAACAAACTAAGGTTACAATCTCTCACCAAAAACCCACAACAACTCACTCTTGATCTCTCCAAATGCTCCTAGAATAGAAGCCCAAAGAAAACCCCTTTCAACAGCTCAAAACCCTTGCCTTACAAACCCTAAAATCGTGTTTGAGTATTTATAGAAAACTCAAACGAAATGGGTCTGGAAAACATATCCAGACTCAACCCGCTTTGGCGGTCGACCGGACCGGTCGACCGGACCGGTCGACCGGCCCGGTCGACCGCCCTCCTTCCAGCAACATTCCCAGAATCCAGAGAGATTGGCGGTCGACCGGCCCGGTCGACCGCTACCATCTTCGGTCGACCGGTCCGGTCGACCGCCACCAATGCTGAAGCACAGTGAACAATGTGCACGAATGCGGTCGACCGGGCCGGTCGACCGCCACCCTGTTAGCCTGAATCTGAACTCTGTTGCTAGTTTCACATCTCATTCACCCTAGATCTTAGGATCAACCTGATTTATAGGGTAGAATCCCGAATACAAAAGAGCTCCTAAAGAAACCAGGTCCTAAACTAACCCAAATTGGGTTTTAACCCAGTTCGGACCAAGAACCGCCAGCAGCGACTCCGGCCAATGACCGCCGGCAACGCCAGGCTAAATTCCGGGGGCTGTTTGTAGCTTCTTTTTTGTTGTTTTGCTGCTGTTTAGACCTCCAAATCCCCACCCAATGTGGAGTAGCATCAACCTCCACCTGCTGCGATATCCCTCTGACCTGATCAATACTCTCCACCTGCCGAGAGTCCAAAGTGACAAACCTGCTCAGACCAAACTCAGAAGCTCCCCACTGATAGCCGAGCGAGCCTCTGAATCCCAGGGATCCAATCTCACATTTACGATGTGACCAAATACTGGGTAGCCAAATATCCGACGCTGACCAAAATCTGAAACAGCTCCACCAGATCTAACAACTCTATACGCAGCAGTCGGTAATCTCATAAGATGACCCAAATCTGTCGAAGCCTGAATACCAGATCCACTGCTCGACAACCAATGCCGATCCTCCTCCAGAAAAGAACGACTCACTAAGTCTGCCATCTCATCACGTCGCCCCACTGTCTCCTCTCCTCTGAAGTGTCTCCAAATGCCATGAGATCGGCACCAATGCAAGAAAGGACTCCTACTAGAACAAGTACGACTGGTAACCTTTCTGCCCATACACCTCCTCCAACTATTGCGGACTACTAGGTCTTTATACCAAAGGGACTTAGTTGCAACCCAAATATGCCTAGTACAATCCCCAACATAGGAAACAAAATAACGATTACCTCCCGATGATGCCTCCTCGGAAAGCCCCCCAATGCCTGACTGAACACCTCCAATAAGACCCCTCGATCGATGGATAGAAGTGCTGAACTCCACATCGGTCTTCTCGCTCATACCAATGTGCTCACAGGACTTCGATCTGCAGGTCATAGCACTCCTCAACAATCTGTGCACGGTATAACCAATAATATATCCCAGCACCAAATAATGCCACAGTCTAGCCATAGAAATAGTCAGCGCCCTATCAACTACCGTGCTCCCAAGCAGATAAAACAAGTTACTCCGTCTGACTCCCTTCATCACAATCATGGACCCCGATGTGACCTTCAAGCCAGAATCCGCCAAGGTCACCCTATAGCCTGATGCCTACAATACCCCAAGTGAAATGATGTTCTTCCTCAGTTGAGGAACGAACCTCACATCAGCCAACTCCCGGATCATCCCGTCACTCATCCGAATCCGAACGGTACCAATACCACCAATAGGGCATCTGTGATCATTACCCATGAGAACAGCATCCCCTCTTTCCAACTCCTGAAAACTGAAGAACCAATCTCTTCTAGGGCATATGTGGTAAGTAGCACCAGAATCCAACATCCACTCGGTGGAGTCGGCAACATCAACTGACGGAAGAGCTGGGCACGAATAGCCCGAAGAATCTGAATCTGAAACATCGCCACTAGCCTTGGCAATATTCACCTCTGAAGCTTGAATAACTTTCCCTTTATTCTTCACGGCTTGCAATTTTGGGCATTCGGCTTTCCAATGTCCATCCTCTTTACAAAAGACACACTGATTCCTACCAACTGCAGGATGCCCCCCTCTAGACTGCGATCTCCTCCCACGGTTTGAACTTCTAGCTCTTGCAACCAATGCCCCCGCAACCAGCTCAATGGAAGTCTCCTTGTCCTTCTTTCGAAGTTGATAGTTCACAAGGGCTGCGGTGACCTCACTATACGAAAGAGATGCCTTCCCATTAATAAGAGTGAGGACGAAGGTCTCATATTCCTCGTCGGGCAAGGAACTCAATAACAACAATGCTTTATCCTCATCTTCAACAATGACATCTACGTTCGCCAAATCTGCAAGTAGCTTCGTGTAGTGGTTCATGTGATCACTAATGGATGTCCCCTTCTTCAATTGGAAGCGATAAAGCCTCCTCTTCAAATGCAAACGATTTTTGACGCTCTTCGTCAAATATTTGCCCTCTAGGACCTCCCAAATCTTCTTTGCCGAAGTTTCATTCATCACATCATATTTAAGGTCTTGGGTAAGGCAAGACCTAATCACACCACACGCCGTTCTATTCATCTTATTCCAAACCTTTTCATCAATGCCGGCCGGTTTCTCGTCCAACTCCAATGTATCTTTCAAATTTTGCGCATTTAGCGCATCCATAACTTCACATCACCAAAGTCCAAAATTATTTGTGCCGTTGAACTTTTCCACATCTATTTTCATAGAATGTATATTAAAACTTTGGACGGCCTTCACTAGAAGAACCCTCCCCACTTTTATCTTTTCCGGACATAATCTCAAAGCACCCAATAAACAATTGCGAAACAAATAGGAAATAGATCCAACTTGAAGAAGATAGAAACTTTACCACAAAGATCCCACATTTATCACCAATCGAAGCTCTAGATGAACTTCTCAACTGATCTACACCTCCAAAAAAGCCCAAGCGTTGCCCGGAGCTCTGATACCACTTGTTGTGCCTCGAGAATCCAAACCAATCGCCGAGAAAAGATAAACCAACACACCAAATCAATAACACAAACAATCAAACACCAGTTTTACGTGGTTCGGCAAGATGCCTACGTCCACGGGGCAAGGAGGGGGGGGTTTTCACTATTAGAAATCAAGATGAACAAACTAGGGTTACAATCTCTCACCAAAAACCCACAACAACTCACTCTTGATCTCTCCAAATGCTCCTAGAATAGAAACCCAAAGAAAACCCCTTTCAACAGCTCAAAACCCTTGCATTACAAACCCTAAAATCGTGTTTGGGTATTTATAGAAAACCCAAACGAAACGGGTCTGGAAAACAGATCCAGACTCAACCCGCTTTGNGCGTCGGTCGACCGCGTCGGTCGACCGCTACCATCTTCGGTCGACCGGTCCGGTCGACCGCCACCAATCCTGAAGCACAGTAAGTGACGTGCACGAAAGCGGTCGACCGGACCGGTCGACCGCCACACTGTCAACTTGAATCCTGAGCTAGAAATCCACTTCTGCTGCCAATTCTACATGCATATGATCCCCAAAGTAAAGGTTTGTGCCTTGAACATCCAAAATCTGACATGTATAATAGTTCAAGGTTGAAGGAGTCCGCAGGAACAGCCTAATTAAAGATCAACGTGACATTTTCACCACCGAGTAGGTTATAGGTGCACCCAGTTCTCTCTCTAATCAGGCTACTAAGCTAATTAAGGAAAACAGACACGGGATGTTAATTCCGTCGTCGGAATGGTTAGTTATCATCAACAATTCCCAAAATTAAGCAGTAGAGTTGAAGTAGGAAAAGTATGGAAGGACGAAGGAAGGAGCGTATGCGGACTAATTAATTAGTACCTGAGAAAGGCAGCTGAACGAAAGCCCATTTCTCGCCGAAAAGGTTTTCAGGAAGTTCGGTTGGGAAGGGGTTATCCAGGGCGAGGAGCGGCTTAGACCCCCGTTGAAAGCCAGGGTGACGTGTGTATACCGTTTGATATCGTTCTTCCAGCCACAGCAGCAGGGACACACACTGCACGCATCACGAGAAAACAATATATAATAACGACGAAGATGGGTTGTAGATGGGAGGTTTAATTAAGAGACGGGTCTGGGTATATACCCGCTTGCTGGGGACGGGTTTGACGCCGAGTTCGCCGCAGGCCTTGGTAATGATGGTCTGCATCTGGGACCTGAAGAAGCGGATCTTTTGGGGCAAGGGAACGCCCAGGGTGTCGGCGACGGAGGCGATGGCGTCCCTGAGGGTGACGCTGTTGATGACGTTGTTGCTGGGAAGCAATTCCTGTTGTATTTCTTGTAAGGGTCTGTCTATATGTGATTCCGTCGCCAGATTCTCTCTCTATGCCCTCCTATTCATTCTCTCTTTTTCCTTTTGTCTGCATGGGGATGTTTGCGGGGCAGCAGAAATCGTGCTTCTTCACTCTGTTTTATTCTCGTGTGCCTCCTCCTCTCCCCGCTCTCTCTGTGTCTAGGAACTGGCTACCCCTTCCTGTCTCTCTCTCTCCTCTCTCACGCGGTTATCTCTTGGCCACTGCTTCCCTCCTCCGCATCGGGGTCGCCCTCGTCGCGCTCGCTCAGCCGAGCCTCAGTCCCCCGGGGTTTTGCGGTGTATACTCTGTCTTTGTGTTGTCTCTTTCTTGATTTTGTCTGTTCCTAGGATTTGGACCGAAGACGAGCGCCTCCTTCCCTCCTTGTCCTCTGCTGAAGCGGCAGGTGGAAGAACCTGACAGGGGAGAAATCCCGCCGCCGGCGGAGGACAATGCTTCAGCCGGGTCGGAGAGAACCTAAAGCGAGACGGTGGCCGCAGCGATAAATACTACTACTATTCTCCTCTCTCTCCTCCTTCCTCTTTTCGGCGTTTTGGTGGCCGGACTCGCTGGTACGCGAACCCAAACCCCGGGAGTTTCTGGAGGCCCGCCCCCCTACGTACCTTCTGCTTATCCGCCTAGTGCAAGAGTCCCCCGGGGCGCGTTTTGCGGTGTATACTCTGTCTTTGTGTTGTCTCTTTCTTGATTTTGTCTGTTCCTAGGATTTGGACCGAAGACGAGCGCCTCCTTCCCTCCTTGTCCTCTGCTGAAGCGGAGGTGCGAAGAACCTGACCAGGGGAGAAATCCCGCCGCCGGCGGAGGACAATCTCAGCCGGGGTCTGAGAGAACCTAAAGCGAGACGGTGGCCGCATGCGATAAATACTACTACTTTCTGCCTGCCCTCTCCTCCTCCTCTTTTCGGCGTTTTGGTGGCCGGACTCGCTGGTCTACGCGAACCCAAACCCCGGAGTTTCTGGAGGCCCGCCCCCCTACGTGACCTCTCTGGCTTATCCGCCAGTGTCGAGAGCCCCCGGGGCGCTACCGCATGTTCGTTGCGAGCACGGAGTTGCGTAGGCGCGCCCCCCGATCTGTATGATGGCCTTTTTGCTATTTTCATGACGGATCAAGTTGTTAAGGTTATTGCTGCTAATTTAGTCTAAGAATCACTATGAAACTGCTATGTAAATCTCCTCACTTATTTGATTTTTATTACGAAATTGTCCGTCCCGTTAATTAATTGTTAGTGTAGCGCGAACTACGAGGACTTTATGAAATTGTGGGAACCTAGTTAGCAATTGCATTTGCCCAAGGATTTGGAAGGAGAAATATTCAAAATGCCAACGGTTGGAAGGGTCTGGCATGCGAAAAAGCCCAACGGTGGAAAAGAAAAGTGGGGAGGAAGCGGTGAAGGATGTAGCAGGCCAAAAGGCACCGCCATCCTCGAGCCGCCCAAAAAAATAAAAAAAAAAAAAAAAAAAAAAAAAAAGGAAGAAAAAGATAAAAGAAAAAAAGACCGCTGCCTCCAACTGCGGTATCTTTACTCTCCGTTTCCCATTCACAGCCCGTAGGGTTTCTTTTTTGGGAGCTGCGCGTGTTTTTGCTCGTTGCATTGATGAGGGGATGGGAATTATAAAGAGGAGAGGAGTCGGATAGCGGTGGGTTGTCCGGATCGTGGTGCGGCGATGGAGTTGGAGGGATGATGGACATCATCCGTGGCCTTCTCACTTGGCCAACAATGCGACGCTGCCGCCCGCCCATCAACATTCTATTTAGACGGGACGCGCACGAGAGCGCCGAGAAAATACCCCTATAAGGCCTCTTCTTCTGTTTCTCCTCCGCTCTAATACTAAGATAATGAACCCGTAGCTGACTGCTGCGCCTATCTCCACAACATACCAAAATCTACAATATGCTCCGAAGAAGGCGGCGGCGGCAATAACAAGCCACCCGAGCGCCTCGCTCCTCCTCCATCCTCTGCCGCTTGTTTCGCTGCCGGAGGAGTACCAGGAGGGCTGATTGGTGGCCTTGTGGGAAGCACAGCGATGGAGTTGAGCGGAGTGATTGCCGAACATCATCCGTGGCTCTCACTGTGGCCAACAAGCGACCGCTTGCCGCCCGCCATCAACATCTTCATATTAGACGGGACGGCACTGATAGCGCCGAGCAAAATACTCCTAATGGCCTCTTCTTCTGTTTCTCCTCCGCTCTAATACTAAGGATAATACCCTAGCTTGACTGCTGCGCCTATCCCACAACACACCAAAATCATCATTCTCCGAAGAAGCGGCGGCGGCAATAACAAGCACCCGACGCCTCGCTCCTCCTCCATCCTCTTGCCCGCTTGTTTCGCTGCCGGCAGGTCAGCGAGGGGTGATTGTGCTTGTGGGGAAGCATCTTGAGTTGGCGGGGCTATCCACCTGCAGAGGGAGGAGGCTTAATCCTGGAGACGGGGTCTCTTTCTCCTTCCCTCCTCTCCCCTCTCACCACCACCAACAACCCACCTCCCCTTCCGCCGCCAAATTCCCTTCAAAACGTCGCTTTTCCTCTGCAGCAGCAGCAGCTTCCTCTTCTTCTGAGATTGTCCGCTTCTCCACACAAGACAACGGCGAGGAGGTTCCCTCTCCTCCTCCTCCCCTGATATTTATCTCTTTTCTCGGATTTTTTCTTCTTTTATTACTGTGCTTTTTTTCCCCTCCTTTGCAGATTGGGCGAATCCCCAACGAGTGGGCTCGCTGCCTTTTGCCCCTCGTGAAAGAAAACAAGGTCAGAATCGATGGCTTTTGCAAATCGGCTCCCCAAGTCCTCGGCATAATGGACACCATTCTCTTGTCTGTCAGGTACGATGATTTCACGCCAACAACGTATTTGTTCCTGCAAACAAACAATTCCCAAATTAATTGTCTCGAAGAGAAATCATCCGGCGTTCCGCATCATAACTTTTATGCACTTTTCTTTTGATTTACTAGCAACAGTTGGATGTTTTCTGATGATCTGTTTGCATGCACGCCTTGCAGCGTTTATATCAACAGTTTAATGTTCTGCGAGCACCACCTGAGATTAGTGAAGCCTACTGCCCCCACAACAATGGATACATCCACTGTCCATCCCCTGCCGACACTCTTCAGACTGCTTGGCCTCATACCCTTCAGAAAGGTAGCTTCTTTCCCTGCAATTTCATTTTACTAGAGCTTTTTATGCACATTTTCTCCTCGTCATAGCGTTTCCATGGCTTGCTTTGTTTCATGTGAATATCCAAAAAAATAGTAACATGATCACTGGTTCCAGTGAGAAAAGGTCAAAGGTCAAGGGGGTTTCGTGAGACAACCCACAGTTGAAGGGGGGTTTTTAAAAAAAAAACAAAGTTCCCGCGTGGGTTTATT